ACAGAGAGAGACAGGGAGATAGAAAGCGAGAAATCACCCCCCGGGGGGATGGCCACGCTGCAATCCCGTCTCCTCCATTCTCCTCTCAGGATCTTGGGCATGCACGCACACGCGCCCGGTGTGAGTTTAAGTCACCGGGTCCAGGACTCGAACCGCGGTCGACTGCATGGGAGTCCATCAACATAGCCATTACACCAACTGCTGGTCCCTCTGAATACTTTTTTATGGTGTTTTGTATGTTTCATAGATGCTAAATCTCTCCATCTTTTTGTCTCTATTGAGTCCCTTTCTCTGTTTGACTTTCTGTCCCTTGTTGAAGGTTTTCCTCAAATGCCTGGTTGTCCATTCATATCTTGGAATGAGATCCTAGAGAGGTTATAGAAGTTCCGCGTGCACCACCTGCCACAAATGATTTACTATAGGACACAAATAGCTGGCTAGCCAGACTCTTATGAGTGCTTCCAACTGTCAGGTTATGTAGATCTTTGGGATGGTTTAACTGCCCCAGAGAATAATGTTCCAATATCCTGGCTACAGTGATTTGAACCCAGCATTCAGAAACATGTAGGAAAATGACCTCGGTCCCCTTCTTTTGAGCCTTCCCTAGAAGCTCTGCAAATTGTTTATCTATTATTGGTTTCTTATTTTCCTACTGGATTGAGAGTTCTTGTATTTTAGATATGAGTTCTTTATCAGGTGTATATTTTGCAAAGATTTTCTATTAGTCTGTGGCTCGTATTTTCTCTCCCTTCATAGTACCTTCTGAAGAGGAGAAGTTTAGGTCCCCTTCTTTTGAGCCTTCCCTAGAAGCTCTGCAAATTGTTTATCTATTATTGGTTTCTTATTTTCCTACTGGATTGAGAGTTCTTGTATTTTAGATATGAGTTCTTTATCAGGTGTATATTTTGCAAAGATTTTCTATTAGTCTGTGGCTCGTATTTTCTCTCCCTTCATAGTACCTTCTGAAGAGTAGAAGTTTAGTTTTGTTGTTGTTGTTGTTGTTGTTGTTTTTAATGAAGTTCAATTTGTCAAGTTTTTATTTTATGGATTATGATTTTGGTATCATATCTAAATAAATCTTTGCCTAATCAAAGGCAATTAAGATTTTCTCCTTTGTTTTCTTCTAGCAGTGTTATAGTTTTAGATTCTACCTTTGGGTCTATAACATATGTTGAATTCTTTTAATAGGTACAAAATATAGATAAAAGTTCTTTGTTTCTTCTTTTTCTTTTTTGCATATAGATATCCAGTAGTTCTGTCATCATTTGTTGAAAAGACTATCCTTTCTCCACTGAAATGTCTTTATGCCTTTGTCAAAAATCAGTTGTTGTTGGGGACCAGCAGTTAGCATAATAGCTATGTCGCTGGACTCCCATGTAGTCAACTGCGGTTCGCGTCCCGGACCCGGTGGCTTAAAACTCACGCCGGGCGCGTGTGCGTGCGTGCCCAAGATCCCAAGAGGAGAACGGAGGAGACGGGATTGCGGCGTGGCCATCCCCCCTGGGGGGTGATTTCTCGATTTCTGTCTCTCTGTCTCTGTCTGTCTGGCGAGCACATGCGCCCTATAACAAAAACCTCTCCAAAAAAAAAATCAGTTGTTGCTGGGCCAGATGGTGGCATGGTTGTTAAGGCAACTGGATTCCACATTCCCAATTGTATGGTTCAAGTTCTGGACGTGGCAGCCTGGAAAACACACCAGGTGTGTGTGCACACATGCTCAAAATCCTGAAAGGAGGGAGAAATGCAGAAGGGATTGATTGTGACATGACCATCCCTTGTGGGGGGTGCTGTACCTCTCTCTCCCTCTCTCTCTCTCCCTCTCTCTCC